CCAATTATTGGCATTCCCCTGCTGTTTGACCAGTTTGAAAACATTTTGCGAATGGAAGTTCGAGGAGCTGCTAAAATGGTGGATGTAACAAAAATCACCCAGCAGAATTTCCTCAAAGTCCTACAAGAAGTTGTTAACAATCCCTCCTACAGAAACAACATGAAGCGTCTGTCTGCTCTCCACCGAGACAGACCAATGCATCCTCTGGATGCTGCAGTTTACTGGATTGAGTTTGTTATGAGGCACAAAGGAGCTGCACATTTACGCACCGAGTCTTATAAGATGCCCTGGTATGTGTATCATTCTGTGGATGTTATATGCTTTTTGTTGGCCATCTTGTTTATGCTGACAGCCTTTGTAGTGGCAGTCATACGATTCACGTGCCTTGGAATGTGCAGGAGGAGGAAACCAAAGCAAGAGTGACTCCTCGAATGAAGATGGATCCAATTAAAATGTTATATTGATATTCTAGATTTTTCTTGTTGTCAACCAATCATATGAAAAGACCAAATCTTACTTGAGATTTCTCTTTCGGTTAGTCGTTCTTTACTGCTGCTCAGCCTAAAAGGAACAAATAATGAACAAAGCCAGCCCGGACAATCAGTTGCAGTTATATCTCTTGGCTTTCCTGGGAACACCTTGATGTTCCCCTGGACAAGCTGGAGGAGATAGCTAGGAAGAGGGAGGTCTGGGCTTCTCTGCTTAGGCTTCTGCCCCCCGCGACCTGGCCCCAGCTGTTATAAAATGGATGGATGGAAAGTAAAAAGTAAATATGGAACACAATAAAAAAAACATCCTTACACTAACTTATCTTCCAAAGATCCCACATCCTAATATAGGGACAGAGCATTTTTCTTTTTGGCCTGTTCCATAAACTACAAAGGTTTTAGGACTGTCTATTTGATTCAAATCACTCTGGTGCTGTCACTGTCACTTAATGCTAATACAAAGTAAGTGATGCAATATTAAACTTCCAATGGTGAGCAATATATGACTATGAAAAGAAATATTTCATAGTCAGATTTTCTTCATATTTTGCAGGGGACATATCAAAAGCTTAGTGAAATGTACAAACAATAATGAAAATACAGAATATATACAACCTGCCTTATAGCAGCTCCAAACCAGGCCCATGACTGTACCTCCACCATGTTTTACAGTTGGCTGTAGACGCTGTTCTACCTTGTTCCACATCCTCTTCTTTACTTACTGCAGAACCAAAAGTTACCACTGATTTTCCGTCTAATATTTATGTAATTTGGGACACCTCATCTTTCATTTCCTGTTTCCCATCCTTGTAAATGGCTTCTTAACAGCCACCCTTCAACTTGGGACCATTTCTGATGATAGATTTTAGGTCTGATACTTCATTGTTTGTCTTCGCTTGTCCAGTTTCTTAAGAATACACTGCACAACATGACAAGATACGTCAGGTTTTCAGCTAATAACTCTTTGGGTATCCCTTTGTCCGTGCGAAAATACTAAACTGGACTGAAAATGAGTGAAAAAGCAGCTGAAGAAAAACACAAAAGCCTGGAGAACTATCGGTCAACATCACTTCAAATTACAAAAAAGCCTTGCTCCTTGGAATGAAAATATAAAGAAATGAAGGGTGGCTCAAGAGTTTTGGACAGTACTGTGGCAACCAAACACGAGAGAAAATAATCTGTTAAATGTGAAAATTTGACTTTTATGGATCTGACTGACTTTTAATGTTCTGTTCAATAAGAGTCAAAACAAACAGCTAAGCTCATCACTAAAGGTTTTATAGTAGCCCACCTCTGTTTCCCCACAGAACTCACATTTAAGGCATTTCTGAATGGTCACACATCTGTGTTCAGCCTGTGTTCATAACCGCACAAACAGCAAATGCACCTCATGCTCATGTTTCAGTAATTTTACAATACAGTCTGAAACAAAACACAAGCCTTGCTGCGAGCAGTTGCATAAAGGAACTATATTCTTTCTACTGTTTACATCCACTAACCAATAGAAGTGTGCAGCCAGCTAACATTACAGAGGAAGTACAAGCTTAACTACCCAGAACAATCCTTTGTTCTTGAATAAACACAAGGTTTGTGGATTATTTTTAGTAAATGGGTTATAATTCACTGCTGTTTTTCCAAATGTATTTTCAGTCATGTTAGCCTCAGACTGAAGGTAGATGGATAAAAGGAGACGAATATGTACATTTGATTATCATATTTACATTTACATTCAATATATAAATTCACATTTAATAAATGCTGGAAAGCTGAATGCTCGGTTA